TTAATTAAACTAATTATAAGTAGGCTGCACACAACCTGAATTTTAGGCGGAAATCAAGTAGCGTGCTGCGTGCAGGCGAATTTATATGAATTTATTTGTCATGTGAATTTGTTGACTATTGAGAACAATATTAAAACTCTAGTATTTTACATTTCAAAGCTTTCAAAATTGTTGTGTAAAGGCTTCGTTTTTAAGAGTTGTACGAAATAAATGTACCATTCTGTTTCTGTCTTACTTTATATAAGTATTGATGAATTCTAGTTGCCGAAATATACTTCGGTTAATCAAGGAAATTTCAAGGAAATTACATCCCATTTCAAGGAAATTCAAGGAAATTGTAAAGCAAAATCAAGGAAATTTGAATGATGCGTTGTGGAAACACCGGTGAGGGTTTCATATATCATGTGAGTGAGTAAGCTTCCAAAAATGGAAGTGGTCCTGTGGGTCGCAATGTCAAAAGTACAGTATAGGGGGACAACCAGTAGGGCCGCTTATAGGGGAGAGAAAAGTGGGAATCATTCAAGGGTGGGTTGACCACAAAATTTCTGTAGTTCGCTAAAAATATGTAGTCAGCTACAACTACTGCTACTTTTGAACAAAGGTAGTTCGCTACTGACTACAGCCACTGCTTAAAAAATGTAGCCAACTATTTCGCTACGCCATATTTTTTAGTTATAAGTGTTGTTTTATGCTATTTTTGGCATTTTCAAAAAACAGCAGTTCAACGAATGAATTCTGAATGCATTATCGCTTTTATAGCTTAATACCTATTCTATGCTTTTACGTTACATGAAATCAAATAGTGTCCAGGTTTTTTGGGGGACACCCGGTATTTTAAGGTAGATTTGCATTTCGCAACTCGACATTTTGCGACCGCTTTCCGTTTTGAAATGTGCGCAGTCTAATGAGATCGTTCCATATAATAATGAAGCCGTGAATAGTTGTAAGAACCATATAATGTGAAAGTGCGTATTTCCACCGAAAGTGCATATTTCCACCGTTGAGAATTGGGTCAAAAACTATTGAAAATTGACTCCCTTCACACTTTAGGACTTAAGTTGATGAATTGAACTTCAATAAAATACCTGCGTATGCATAATTATCATAAACGTCTTGTAAGCCAGCCCTGAGCTCGTTTTTAAAATGACACGTTCGTGGTTATTTGCTAATCAAAATACAAGTTAGTCCATTATGAATGCAATGTGATTAAACTTCTGCTCTTTAGCAATGATTTAAGAAAGAAAATTAACCACTAGTCATGCCATTCACCAAAGCAGTAAATGAAGATTTGGCGTTTGAAGTTGACGTTTGACGTATAAATAGAGACCTTAAGATTGACGTTTACGGCAAACGTCAAACCGCTAGCGAGGTTTTTGATTTTACAACTCTATTATAATAGCTTTTACACCAGTTTTGAAATATGTTAAACTTATTAAACTTGTGCTCTTTAGCAATGGTTTAAGAAAGCAAATTAACCACTAGTCATGCCATTCACCAAAGCAGTAAATTAAGATTTGGCGTTTGAAGTTGGCGTTTGGCGTATAAATTTCATGCCTGAACTGCTACGAGGGCTTGTAGTCGTTAAAGCATGAAATTTATACGCCAAACGCCAACTTCAAACGCCAAATCTTAATTTACTGATTTGGTGAATGGCATGACTAGTGGTTAATTTGCTTTCTTAAATCATTGCTAAAGAGCACAAGTTTAATAAGTTTAACATATTTCAAAACTGGTGTAAAAGCTATAATAATAGAGTTGTAAAATCAAAAACTTCGCTAGCGGTTTGACGTTTGCCGTAAACGTCAATCTTAAGGTCTCTATTTTCATGCTTTAACAACTACAAGCCCTCGTAGCAGTTCAAGCATGAAATCTATACGCCAAACGCCAACTTCAAACGCCAAATCTTAATTTACTGCTTTGGTGAATGGCATGACTAGTGGTTAATTTGCTTTCTTAAATCATTGCTAAAGAGCACAAGTTTAATAAATTTAACATATTTCAAAACTGGTGTAAAAGCTATTATAATAGAGTTGTAAAATCAAAAACTTCGCTAGCGGTTTGACGTTTGCCGTAAACGTCAATCTTAAGGTCTTTATTAGCTAACAGTAGCTAATTCATCGTCCAATTTTTATGCACAAGATGCTCTAACTTCGAACAGGTAACAGTTGACTTCAGATTACGATTTGAAGTTTGCCATTTGAAGTTTGCCATTCATAGCCGTGAACGTCAATCTTAAAGTCCCTAAAGGCCGTGTTACACGGTGCAATTTTTCATGCAACTTGTCTCGCAATGGCGTTGCGTGGCAAGTTGCACGAGTCATTGCACCGTTTAACATGCCTTGCAATGGTCAAAATCTTTGCGAGACAAGTTGCATGAAGCATTGCACAGAGTAGAAGTCGGTTCTACTTTTGGCAACGATTGCACTAATTATTTTTAGCATTGCAGCGTGTAACATGGCTTCGTGCAACTTGTCTCGCAATGTTTATAGCTTGGAGAGTTCCTATTGGCTCTCGCCAGTACAAGCTTTATTTTAATTACAATTTGGCGCCAAATAGCACCTCTCCCTAGCAGGGGCGGATCTAGGGGTCGTCAAACCAGTCACGCGACTAACGTAAAAATTGCGAACTTAATTAAAGTCTTAAATATATGACCAATAGTCCAGTTATTTTTTATCATGCAGCGACACCTTATAATGTCCAGTATCTATTATCATGCAGCGTTGGCAATTAACATTCCAATCGAACTGTAGTCCAGTGATCAAATTTCTTACAGTGGCTGAGCCGACGAGCTTAGTCAGGTCAATGAGCAGCTGACATACGCAAAGTCGGTCAGTCAAAAAGTCAAAATCCAGTGTTCTGATTGGTCTAGACGCTTATTGCCATGGAAACAAGTGATTTTTTTGGATTTTGACTGATCTGTGGGGAGTTCTTACCGATTTACAAAAGTCAGGGGCGCCCCATTAGTCGGAATATCATTAATATTTGACGCGTGGTAAAGTCTTTCCGAGCGCGCGCTCATTCGAAGTGTCATGTTGGAGCTTTGTCGAAAGATTCAATTTAAAGATATCTACGGAGAATTCGGAAATGTCTGCTGCTCCAGTTCTTGTAGTATTCATGATCACGAAACGGTTCAATCCGCATTTGCGGTGAATGATTTAGCTGTCTTACAAGACTGTTGCGCTGATCTTCGGAGGAAAATCGACGCTAAATATCGGAGAGTTCGATTCAGTGAGCAGTTGCTAGGCGCCACGAATAGTACGAACTACAGTTTGACTGTTTGAGTGGAAGCATTCACTATTGGCGCCGAGATCTTTATTCTGAAGTGCAATGTGAAACATCTAAACCCCTCCAAGTTGCGTAAAGGCACAAAGCATAATATCAACGTGCAAACCTTCAGTGGAGCCAATGTTGCTGATATGCGTTATTATGTGAAACCAGCAATATCAAGATCCCCTGACTATCTGCTCCTACATGTTGGAACTAATGACTTAAAGCGACAAACCCCTCAACAAATAGCTGGGTCAATTTCTACGCTTTGCCAGGAAATCGTAAAGGAATCACCAAATACTAAGATTGTATTATCGAAAGTTATAACCAGATCTGATGACTCAAGCCTAGATTCCAAAATCAAAGAACTAAATTGCAAACTATCACAGGTATGCCATAATAATAAATGGGGTGTATTAAATCATACCAATATTACAGCAGATCACTTGAATCCTTGTGGTCTCCACTTAAATAAGCAAGGAACAGCCAAGTTGGCCAAGAATATTATAGATCATTTCAAAAACTTAAATTGACAAACGAACAATCAAAATAATATTACTCCCTCAGATGATAGTAATATACAGAGGTTTAATTCCATTGAAAACGATAATGCCAATAATGCTAATAGCCCTCTGGGTAATGATGTAAATAGACAAGAGTCACACGCTAGCGGCTCTCTTTTTCCTAAACTTAAAGGTTTTAAAGTATGTCATCTAAATATAGCAAGTTTGATAAAACACTATGATGAGCTTTTGCTATATATGCAAAACAAACTTTTTGACATTATAACGCTTAACGAAACTAGATTAGATAGTAGCGTACTAAACGGTGAAATTGAAATTCCTGGTTATGATATTGTTAGGCGTGATCGAAACAGAAGCGGAGGAGGTGTTGCAATATATATTAGAAGCAACATACCATACACCATTCGCAAAGACCTCTTCCCTGATAATTTAGAGTTGATTTGCGTAGAAATTAAAAAATTTAAAAGTAAACCTCAGTTAATTACAACATGGTACAGACCACCAAATTCCAGCGTTGAGCTGTTTAGCGAATTTGAAAATTTTTTAAAAC